TTTTAAATTAAATATTAAACAAAAAAAGCTATTGAATCTTGACTATTACTGCAGACATATATTTAATAATTTAATATTTGTTTTTGCAACTTTCACATATACCAATCATAGATCTGCCTTTTTACAGGCGTGTGTTTGTTTTTCATTATCAAGTATTTCCATATTAACAGTATCGTACTTAACAGCAAAAATTCGCTCGCAAAGGGCAACGTCATCTCTCAATTAAAGTGGCAGCAAAATACAGAAAATAAGAAAAAACATATTAGGATTAAAAATCGAACTCTCAAAAAGGACTCTGCAACCGTTGATAGAGAAAAATAAGCTAACGCGCAAACATTTCACTTATCAACATAAAATTGGAGTATTATAGGTGACACTATTGCTTCCAGATAATATTAGTTTTTATTTTTATGTAAGTGAAATTTAAATCATCGTCGCCTATAATCTCATTGAACTGAACTGTTGCAGAAGCAACTGCTTCTCACGCTCCTTTTTCTTAACAATGTCGAAACTACGTTGACGCCAAGTGCTTTGACGAAATTTTATCGGGCGACTGCCTACGTAGCGGCCATCCATCTCCTTCTTGGCTTCAATGAAATCTTGGGGTTCACGAGAACTTACAATCCCGAAACCTTCACGTTTATCACGTATTATGCGAGCCCTTTAAAATAAGAGATATCTGTTAAAAATCCCTGTGAGTACCTCATCGTTAACATCATTCTTCAACTATCAGTCTTCATTTATATCGCAGTTCACATAACTTTCTACAGAGATTGTTCCAACAGGTAGTTGCGTAAATAAACAAATTTTCTAATCTCTAATAGAGCTGTGATTACGCTCTTTTAAGCACATGTTCTTATGGACTCTAATGAAGGGGACTTCATACTTAAAGGAAAAATTGAGACATTGAAACAATGAATTCATTCAAAAGAGATAACGTTGAGTGGAATGTAAATTATTTTAAAGAGAAATATAAATTCGTGAGGAAGTTGGCATTTTTTTGTACTTAAATATAATATATTTTTATTTAAATGTGGTTTTGTGCGCACACAAGTGTTTTTAAATACATTGCTTCAATATACCGTGCAATTAACGGTTAAAAATGGTTAATAAGACTGCATATTTGGATCCCAAGGAATATATGCAGTTTTAAAAAATTAATTTTTTCCTATTCGCATTTAATGGTGCTTAATACAAATTTTCCCACACTGTCCCGCTTAAATGCTTCCCATAGTTCGTAGATATTGTTCAGTGTGTAAAGATTTTATTTTACTATACTACAGTTAGACTTCACAGAATGTCGGCCACGTTTTATCGTATTGGCCGTCTTAAAAAAAGACGTTGTTGTTAATGTGATAAAAATCAATCAGCTACATGAGGTATTTCAGCCAATGTTGGCGAAAAGACTATCTGTTGCTATTTTGTTTATAGTCATGCGGGCAGCTGGTAAAAATGTTGGACTTTCTTCTTATCCTTAATTTTTTTCACATTTCGCTTTCATTTCCGGCACATCGGTTGCGTTTACATATTCTGGCACTTCATTGTCATCTGTTTTAATATTGCTGTTGTTTGCCACTCCTGCGGGTCCAGCCTCGTGTGTATCAAGAAGTCTATGCTAAAGTCTGCGGGTCCAGCCTCGTGTGTATCAAGAAGTCTATGCTAAAGTAGATTATTCAAATTGTGTGTTGAACATATTGATATTAAGATCCTCGAATGTGCCACTTCCGCTTTGATCCAACATCTGCAACATATCGGAGAACTCCTGACCTTGGTGCGGTGGTGGTGGCGGTTGGCCGCCAGGTACGTTAGCCCCATGAGTTGCATGTATAGCATGCGGGTGAACATGGGGATGCGTTACTGGATGCGGGGCAGCGTGATTAGCGTGTCCAGATGCCTGCCAATCCCACATCCCAACAGAAGCCGCGTTTGTGGGTGTTACTTGATATGTTGGCGCCTGCCGTGCATTTCCTGCACTCAATTGTGTATATGTAGGTCCGCTGGGAGAACGAGCCGGGCTTGTTTGATTGTACTGGTAGCCTTCAGTGACAGGTTGTTGCTGCTGTTGAGGCTGCCTTAAGGGCCAACTAGCTGTAGCAGGTGTGGGTGAAGTATTGGCTTTTGGTATCTTAGCCATATGAGCAGTATTAGGAGAAGGTCCTCCGGTTACTGTTTCATACCCACTCAACGGCGAATGCGTTGTTTCGTAATTGTATGTCACAGGATTTTGTGCCGATGCCGGTCTTTGGACATTTTGTTGTGCTTGTTGAGAAATGTGGCTGCCTGCAATCATACCATGCGAAGTATACATGTTTGGATCTGCTGGCGTTCCAGCGGAAACAATATCGCGTCGTGCTTGCAAAGTATAATCTACACCTGGAGCTACATACACATGTTCCGGATTTTGTTCAGGATTATTGTTATCATGAGTTTGCCCAGTATGCATTGTAGCCTTATTGGAGCTGTTTGTGCAAACAATATATTCTACCCCGTCAGTATAAGGATTTAGAAACGCATATGTTTGGGTGCGTAACCAAACGAATTCACCACTTTTGGCTCGGGCTCGATACATCAACGAAAACATTTGCCCTTTTTGTTTTAATACCTGAGCAAAGCTTTCTTTCATATGACTTTGATCTTCTGGATGGAAGAAATCATAGCATATTTTGCCCAATAAATCCGTGGGTGTATACCCCAACACATTCAATACTCGTTGGTCAACAAAGGTGAACTTTCCATGCTCATCTTGACGCGTTATAAACTCAAACTGATTATTTGCATTTGTCATATCATTGGAAGCAGTTGAAGTAACTTGCAAACGTCCTATAGCCAATAAGCACCAATGAGAGCCATGCATTTCATCATCTACAGGACGATCCATGTGTACTCCGGGAAACATCTCAGTTGGAGGCCAATTTTTTATATACCCCGTGCAATGTACAACGGCATAGTTTATACCATCCCGAGAAGGACCCAAGGAATTACGCTGTTTCAAACGATTCAAATGACCAGTTACCATTGTTTCGGGATTTACATTGCCTACACGCATGCGACATATAAAGCCACGCCTGGCCCCCATAGCCAATCGGGAGGAAGAGTGGTGACCCTCCTTTTTTACAGTGCCCGACTTTAAATCTAAAATACGTCCCGAATTTTGTGATTCTTGGGTTGATAACTGCTCTCGAATCTTTTCGCGATCGTCTGGATGTATGTGATCATACAAACTGGTTCCATACCACTCGCTTTGAGTGTAGTTTAGCACTGGCGTTACTGAATCTGAAATATAAATAACACGCCCCGAGTCGCATGACACTACGAATAAAAAGCCATCAGCCGCCTCCAAAATCAGATGTTTAAGTTCTTGATCGGTTAGAAAAGACGGTTTGTAGGGGCCCTCACTGCTGGTATTACCGGTACCACGTAAAGCTTTCATATGTGCTACCGCCATGCGAAGGATAGTCAACTTGTCGGGCTTACGGGCCAAAGCGCTACAATAAATAATAAAAATTTGTTTACTTGACTAAATTTAGTAACTACATCTTCCAATAAAATTCTCTTCAAATATATTTGATCATAATTTTATCATACTTTGATCATAATTCATGCAAGTGTGGTTAATATCTGTTAGTAGAACCTATTTTGACCTACCTACACGTTGGCACCATATCCGATAGTTCTGTGATATAAGCTGTCATTTTATTACGCCGCCTGCGTTCAATTTCGCAGTGATTTTCACGGCTTGCATACCGTTCCTTATCTTGTATATTTGATTCGTCCATTACCAGAATATGAACTTTCTTCAGACGTCTTGTAAGTAATAATTTCCTTTATTCTCTCTCTGTATGATCTAAATTTTCTTTCTTTTTTATTAGACTTCTGACAACGCTTCCGTTGCCTTTACATTTCAAATTTAACCATGTATTTCCATTAACGCCACACTTAAATAAATAAACTCCTTTTGGTGGATGTACGTCAGTTTTACCGTTTGTGTTTATTCGAGAATTAGAGATTTTGTTACGTTTGCAAAATACCTCTTCTGTCTGTACCCCTTAGAATGAAATATGATAGTTGCCATATTATCGAAAGCATCATACATTTTTTGGCGATTGAATTACAATTTTTGCGATCAAAATTCAACTTTCTACGATGCTGTGGGAATTAACAAATCATATGTTTTCTGCTTCTTTCTTCCGCCCAAGTAACAAAATTTCTCCCGTATTTTCATTGCGATGTGCTTTTTGATATTTCTGTAAATTTATCTTTTCTTTTGCGCTGTTTTAATTGTGAAAATTATTTGGCGAGTTATGATTCTTCTTATTCATGCATACGTAATGGTGCGCCAATTTAAATTCATTTTTAAATCTCGCTTTATATTATAAGAAATATCTTATAAGAAACGAATAAGAAGCATTAAATTTATTAATTTTCATTTTAAAACTTGTCTACTCAAAGGCTATAAGCAATTGTTTTACTTCGTTTAACTGGATCAGTGTAGTCCGTCCCCATGCTTATTTTTTGAAATTATTTTTTTCTTCTTTATTTCATTAATCAACCAAAAACCTGAGTTACTTTTATGTTAATCTTCGTTTCATTGCTTATATTTATGTTGAGTTCTTCATTTTTGTTTCTCAAAACATATGACCTTCTTTTCTTTTTCTTATCAAAAACTATTGTAGCGCCGCTCATCGCGTTCACCTCTTGGGACTTATTTGCCAAAAAATTAACGCATCCTCACAATATTGCGAATTGTCGTTATCATCTTTGCTTGAGACTACCGCATAAGACCTTTTCGTAGTCAGCTAGATTTTTATAGTTGTTAGCACTAACCGCTCCTACGCTTGAATTTACATTATTGCCGCCAACGACATTAAGCCGATAAGCGTGATGTATCATCTAAATCACGCATGCGAGAAGCATTATGCCGCGTTGGGTCTGTCCCGCCATCCGACGGTGAAACTTTCTCATCAAAAATATCAATAACGTTTGAAGCCCTTAATCATTATTCAGGTCTGCTGTCATACGAAACATTTTTACCATTACTAAAACGAGATCCTAGTGTACTTCAGGTACCGGCATTACGAGATCGAGCCTAGATGATACCCTTATAGGTATATTATCGCGTGAAACGCCTATTTAGGAGTTACTCATAACGAAAAGTACTGGTAGGAAATTGCAAATTCTTGGCGAAAATCAAGGTCGCATAAATTATGGCTATATGATGGACTTTAAAGGTCTTCTAACAAATAATGTTACGTAAGATAAAAAAAGTGCTACAAAATTGGAATATGACTAAATTTCCTTTAGAATCTTATGAAGATATTGCAAATTTAATCAAAATCAATGGATCCAAATGGAACGATATCAACGTATGGTATGCTTAATGAAGCTCCGGCACTATATTATGGAACTCTTAACATAAATGGCGAAATAGGTTCAGAAGATACCTATTTAGATGTTACTGGTTGGAGCAAGGGTCTCGCATTTATCAACGGTGAAAATATTGGTCGCTATTGGCCTTCAGTTGGTCCGCCGCAAATTACATTGTATTACATTGTATATACCTAAAGAAGTATTTGGATTGGTACTAAGGCAATCGTACTTATCGAATATCAAAGAGCTTCGCAAACAAATGAAGTCACTTTCACCGATGTGCCTAAATTGGATAGATGAAGGATAAGAATAGAGTCGAAAGAACTGCATAACAGATATTATATTTTCAAGTTCATCCTAGAATAAGAACATCTCTGTATTATAAGAATTTAACCAAAATCTCGACAAAAAAGAAAATATATATATATATATTGCCGATTATTAATTTCATTGAATAACTCTAAGAAATGAAGAATATCAATCAATTATATTTCGTTTCCGTCGAGTCATCGAATTTTATCCAAATTAAATTTTACGAAATTTTCAATTTAACGCATCTGTCTTTTACTCATTTGATTTTCATTTATTTTCGCGGAGATCATTATCTTCTTTATATTAAAATTTCAAGTTTTTATACCCGGCGTCGCTTATATAAATTTCTGCTTATGCGTGCACAAACTCTAGAAGAACTAATCGGTTCAGAAAGATATTCTAATCGCAGGTTCTTTAATTAACTTTGCTACCTCGATCTGTTTGATTCTCATTCAAACATGAATAATTGGAAGGAATAAGGCGACAAGGCTTACGTTAGCGCAAAAAATTTTTGGTACAAAAAGAGATGGCGATTAAAGCCGGAAGAAAATACCCACAAATTTTATTAATTACAATTATTATTTATTTCCTATTTAATTATTATTAACAAATTGTATTTTTTTCGTACAACAGAGCTAACCTTTAAACCTTTTAAAAACTATAGTTCTTTCGTCATGCATCGTGACAAAAACATTAAATAAACAAAATGAAACTTTTGTATTTGGAACTCGAAACTCGACAAAGTTCGAAATGTTCCACTTTGCTTATGTAAGATTTTTGAATATATCTCGCTGATTTCTTTATTTCTAAATTTCTTATGCATCGTTACTATAAACGGAATTTTTCGCAAGCATTTCCGTATTTTACTATATTGTATATGCAATATCAACAGTTAACTGTTTTTTATTTTAAATAAACAGATTTCTCGAATGTCAAAAGAAGAAGAAAAAATTAAAAAGTTAATTTTTTTTCAAATGAAACATCTAAATTAATTAATTTCTCACACATTCATTTGTGCCAATTTTCAGTTGAAAATATCTTCTATTGTTATTCTTTATTTAAATTTATTTCTTAATATGTATAATTCCTCTGTCATGCAGACTTTTTAGATCATTTCAGTTTTCATTAAATAAATAAATTTTACAATACATTTTTTTGTCAGCATATTTTCTTTCACTAAAAATAAGTGCTTGGCGAGACCTTTGCATTGAATAGCTGAAGACGTCTGGAAAAACAATAAATTTCATTGAACTAATAATACAGAAATGCGTTCCTATATGCGGAGTCGGTTTACGGCTACATAGTTATGATGATTATGATTGTTCTCGCATCTATCACGATCACGATTCATTACATTACTTACAGTCAAATCTGTTTTTGTGCGGTGGATAGGGACCGCAGAAAAAAACCGCACAAAAAAAAATATTCAAAAACTTCATAAATAGCTATAAGAAATAATTTTTCACAGCATATTAAAGAAAAATTTTTTTATGCGGTAGAGAGGGACCGCATAAAAAAAGTCTCACTTAGAAAATATGTCAAAGCTTCACGAAATAGCAAGAAAGTGCTTTCCAAACAAAATAAATAATTAAATTACACATTGAAACATTTAAAAAAATTTTAATTTCTAATTTTAAACAAGGCTGAAATTGGCTGATGCAATATATGCATAAGAACATTGAGCATGCCTAATGAAATAGGCTGATGCAATAGGTATGAAAATGGCTGTTGCAATGTGTACATACACACTGATAGCAAAAAAAGTGATGCCAACACAGTTCAGATTAACCTAACCTCTCGGCGAAATTCAATGTGTCGATATTCATATACCGCACAAAAAAAACCGCACAAAAACAGGTTTGACTGTATATGACAATGGAATGAAAATGGATTCATAAATTGTGTCGTTGGCCATACTTGCGTCTTGATCATGATTTTTATACTTTGCCGATATAGTCTCAAATACTTTATGCCTGTAAGCATTATAGAACTGCCCCAAGTTGAACGAAATTGATAGAGGGCTTGAATTTATCCTATCGAAAATATGGCAAAGTTTTTGAGAACAAGATCATTACCTTCAAATTAGCTCCTTAGCATTGTGAAGGAGAGTCCTGTCGGAGACAGACCACTCACCAAAAATACCATTGAGAACATGTGGAGGACAGTTGTTGGGCTTCTTGTTCATTGCATTTACAACGAAATAATGCAAGGAAGCAAAAGAAAATAAAATATCGGAACAAAAGTTGAATAAATTGAATTAAATAAGTAATTTTTTACTTAAATTGTCTAATACTTTTTTTCTTCGTAGCTTGCTTGATATTCATAACTTGAAGTTGCTGATCTATACACTGCCGCATGTCTTTCGCAGAAAATTTTTCGTTTTGCATATTTTAGGACACCATCACGTAAGAGCATCGATATTTTACTTTATTGTTCCCTTAAAGACGAGTCCCAATAACTATCTTGTTTTCGAGCTACATTTTGACATTTTACGTTGCGAGCAGACTTATCGAGCACTCATTTCCGAGCGGATACCATTAACCAAATTCTCATTAATTATTGCGCGGTAACCACCAGCCATTTTAATATCCAAATTAGATATCGAGTTTGCCGCAAATCGACTCCTGTCCTCTTCATAATTCGGCTCGAAGACGATTTGACTCAATACATTTGTTGTTTTACTTTTGTTGAAAAAAATTCGGATAGAAAGTTTACATTAATCGATTTGTGTATGATTAAGGAACTAAAACTAATTCAAGAAATACCGAGTATGTCATTTTGATTCTTTTTATTTTTCTACCTTAAAAAAAAAAAAAAAAAAAAAAGAAAGACGGCTATAAAGCTTGAAAAGACTTTTAATTGTCTACGTAGTCTAGCTTTCAAGATGCCCAAACGGCATATATCCATTAAGAGATCCCCTGTTGGTCCCCTATTTCTGGCGATTTGCCCGAGTCGTAAGAAAAAAGATAGCAACCTGAAATCTTTTAATCAACTCAGTAAGTCATCTGTTGTAGATTTGCTGACTCGCAGCAGAAAAAGAGCAAGGGAAAATTTGACAGGGAGATTCGTTGATACCAAGATTTGAAAATAGAGTAGCATATCCTAAAGTTTGTCTCATTTATGATGAAAAGGTGGGTAGCAGAAAGAACTCTCCTGACAACTTGGAACGTAGCTATCTAATCGTATTTATCGGCACTAACTGTTTTAGTTTCTCTCTAAAAAAATGGATACAAGCGTCCCTAAATGGATTTCGAGTGGACTTCTAGCGCTATAGATCAAATTTCCATTTTCGTTAATCTTTGCTTTTAATCGTATGAAACCAATTTTTAAAATCATGCCTAACATTAATAAATAATTTATCCAAAATAAAATAAAAAAAAAACCTTGTTTTTCAAGTCAATAACGAATATGTTGTCCTTAAGTAGGGTCTTTTTACAGTCGTACGTGTTTTCCTTCTTATCGCTTAAGTCTTTCAAAGCAATTTACTAGTTAATGCATTTCATTTTGTCTTTCTCTTTTGAAAAATCATTTTTATTTGAACCAAGAAAATGGGGAACGGCTACCATTGCCAATATTCACTAGAAACATGATATGAACGATGTGCTTTATAAATGCTGGTTTTACGCTCCGAGGAACATTTCGAAATATTGGATGTTTCAAATTTCGTAAAAACATCTTGTTCAACTAGTTTTTTTGCACATTTCTACGACCTGTAAACAAAGGGAAAAACTTGGGAGTACCTTACATATTAATGCCTTACAAGTTACTTAAGTTTTTGGATACGCTTGTAACATCCGCTAGGATTGAAGATAGAATTTTATTGTACTCATCGAGCCCGATCCGGTTTAAGCTTGTCTGCTCGTCTGTTTGTCTATCCATGAATTTTTCTATCAGCATATCAGCAGGGCGAATTCTATTCAACATCGACGGTATTGGACTGCTTTTGTGAGCACTCACCACACCACGATTAATTCTGACATATGGCCAAGTAACAGTATATCGATATTGATGTGAAAAGTTTGTATGGCAAGGTGCATTAATTTGAACCTCCTCACACCAGTTGAACCACTCCTGAGAAAAGTATGCCATAAATTAATTAACCTAAAAAAAAAAAATTGACCTAAAAAGTTAATCGTAGCGAACTTTGACTACGTAGTTCTATTTACATATTTTGAGCGCTCCCCGCATTGAAAGCATGCTTTTCCGTCGTAACAGGACAAGGCATACTTTCCGGTATTTTATCACGACACGATTATAAGGTATTTATTAAATGCAGTCCTCGCCTGTTGTAAGGTTTTCACTTGCCGTGTCATGGTGAATGATCGCAGCAATTTTCACTTTGTGGTACGGAAGTTTTGGAAAGCGTCAATTGTAAAAAGTTTTAAACCAAGGTCGTTTCCCGCGCTTTTTAGCGATCCTCACGCATTTTTTGAACTTTATCTATGGTCGCCAGCTAAGACTTTCTATATATGTTAAGTTTCAGTTTTCTCTACTTTCATTTTTACGACTGAAAACATACAACGACAAAATATTGACAAATATACATATATATGTATATGCATGGGGGTCTTTAGCTGCGCAATCATTGGGAAGAATAAAAAAAAAAAAAAATGAATATGAGCACATCCTTCGGTAATGAGTAAAAAAACTAGATGGAAATGAAAACTCTAAAAATAAATTTCATCAAATCATTGATTATTGAAAGGACGAAAGTTTACTTTCCCTTTTTTTCTTGGTTTTTCTTTCTTTTTTTTTAAATATCTTAATTATTTTTCTTCAAGCTTTAGATACTTTTTGCGCTTGCATGCGTGAAAAGAGAAATGAAAATAAACTACATATATAAACTATATATATATATAAATATATACATACTTTAAAAAAAAAAAAAAAAAAAAAAAAAACGAAAGTTGTCGATTTGTTGTTGTCACTTGTTGTTTGCTATAAATTCCGTACATCTTATTATGCAATAGCTTTACTCGGCTCGTAATAATAATTTGTATACAATTAGTGTTTTATTATCGTATAGGCATCTATTGTATTGCATTTAATATATGCTAATCATGTATATATAAAATTTATAACTTTTTCCTTTATAATTTTCTTTAACAAAACTCTTCGTTACAATCTATTCATATTTTCATTTTCATCATTTAATTCAATATATTTTTTTACTGAATTTTATAATATATTTGTTGTTGTGGCTTTTGTTTGCTGTCTTTTTTGTTTGTTTGTTTTCGTTTTTTTTTTTTTGTTTTTGTTTTTTTTGTAGATAATGAGAATAGTTTTTTTAAGGCATGTTTTTGAATATTTCTTTCGCCCCTTATTATCGTCAAAATATTACATATGCAAGTAGTATGAACAACATTCTTCTTTTTATAATATATAAAACTTTATGGACATTTTGTGTTTATTTATTAAATTTTTTTTTATCAATTCAAAGAAATTTCAGTATTGTGGTAGAAATATGCGATAAGAGATCTGTTTCGTAGTAAATTAATTAACGGAATCTACAAACACCACGGCTTTCATTTCAATAAGTGTTGAATGGTATGATATTTCAATAAATGTCAACATAATTAAATTTCTTATCAATTTTTTGCGCCCTTTGTAGCTTCTTTTTTTTCTTCTTCTTCTTCTTGTTCTTCTTCAGTAATCATCTAATCCAATGTAGAACAGTTAATGCTCCATAAGGGCAGCTGAAAATTACAAAATAAATTCAAAATAATTAAAAAAATTATGCTCGTCTTGAAGCAAATAATTATAATAGACACAAGCAACTTTTTCGCTCTTCTTCTTATACTATTGTACTGTACTAAAATACTGACGGATAGCATAAAATATTTCAGTCTTGTGAAGGGCAGACAATTTATTAAAAAAAAAATTATCCGAAATCTGATCTGACATCTGGTACATTTCATAAGGATAGCCAGCCATAATAAATAATAATGATTGATATGCTAATAATGTGTAGATAGGGTGAGTGCCATTGACATTCACTATTAATTAAGTGAAAAATATGATTGGCTTCAGACCAGAACAGGACAGAAAAGTGGTGCAATAAAACGCATGCTATAGCATTTAAATCCATCAATGTGGTAAAAAGAAATTTATTTTAGAATATACGCTCGCTCTAACTGAAAACTTGAAGAGAAAGAAATGATAATAAAATAGATAATCAAAGCTTACGTGAAGGGGTACGGCATGTTGTATTTTCATTAGGAGTAAAATTTAAAAAATCCCATATCAAAATAGTGTCATCGTGTGAGCTGCTAACAATTTGAAATTCATCGAACTGCAAACGAAAAACACGGCCGGTATGTTCCTAGAAAAGAAACAGTTCAACCAATCAACATTTTATAACTGATAGGCAGGCAGAGTCGTAAACCTACCACCAATGTATTCAGACATAAGGAATTGGATTGTGCACGCGGATCTAGAGCGGCAACTAAATCCCAAACTTTGATTTTACCGTCATACGCGCCACTAACAATGCGTTTCGAATCGAAGCGTATACAGCGCACTAATTCCTCATGACCCTCTAGTACGCGTAAACAAGCACCGCATTCAATATCCCAGAGCCTGCAAAAGAGAAATTCTTTCCACATTAAATTGAAACGAATGAACCAATAGCACTAATAGATTAGATGAGGTCAACCAACTAAAGGCCAAAGTGGTCTAGCAGGCAAGAGACCGAGAAATCAACAAAAGTTGCATTGATTGCAACGAGAATTACTGAATACTGCACAGCGATTATATAGCCTTTATTGTGTTTCCGCATTTCAGGTAATGTGCTGCTTACAACCAAAAATTGAATGCTCCGGAGAGCGTAACGCAACACAGAATAACAATTCCAATTTAACTTATCAGGTATCAATATTGACAAAAAGCTCGACAATAGCATGCATATCGATTTGGATTGAATTGAAACACAGATCTTTAAGGAAAGGCGCAAAGTACGACTTGTTAAGTTAAGTGCAATGCGAAATTTGTTCACCGAACATTTTAGGGTTTTCCACCCTTTTCGTACTCTTTCGTGTCTTTCACACTTTTATGAAAGTTGGAGCCCATTGCCCTTCCATTAAATAAAAAAAATTAAAATTTTAATTATGTAATCCGATAACGACGACTTATAAATAAAAAAAAAAAAAAAAAAAAAAACGGCTAAAAATATCTTCAACAAATTTTTTTATATTTTTCACTGTTTTTAAGAAATTTTGTAATAAACCAGCCGTTCCAAGCGTTAAACCTTTCATCTGTTCATAGTTTGCTGGTAAAAATCTAGACTTTCTTGTTGAAATGCATTTACATTTAAATGAGTTTCCATAGTATAACGGACAAATTACTAGAAACAAAGGACATCATTGTCCGTCCACTAATGTTGGAACTGAAGCGAATGAAAGAAGATTTGCAAGATGATCACTTGGTAAAATTCTATGGTGCTTGCATATGCTTCCAACAAAAAGCCTTATTTTAACCGAATACTATCCAAAGGGCTCTTTCCAACAAAGCGAGCAATTCCAGCTTGATTGGATGTTTAAACTATCGCTAAAGCATGGTACTGTCGGAGGCATGCAATTTCTACATAATTCTGATATTAAATCGCATGGATATCTAAAATTATCCAATTGTGTGGTAGATTCTACTATCAATGCAGCCGAGATGTCGAGAATAGCAACAGTCATGTTATTGGCATAGTAAGTAAAAGTTCTTTAAAAAAAAGGCATTTTTTTTGGTTTCAAAAATGGAAAAACCTTGAAAAAGGTCTTAAAATATTGAAAGATATGTGTTTCTAAATCCGTACACATTTTTTTTTTTTTTTACGTCTAAAAATTTTAAGAACGATAATAGAAACCTTGTGGATAAAAATGTTTTTTTTTTCAGTGAAGTAAAAGAGGAAAAAAATTACAAATAAATACTTGGTGGAATTCAAGAAATGAGCAAAATTTTCCATCACCAATAAACGCATGAACATGAGGGGACTACAAATCAAGGGCACATTTCTTTAGCTTTCATTAACGCGTAGGGTAATGGTAAAATGTGTGTGCGTGTTTTAGTTTATGAATGTCTGTCTACCTTATAGAATTATCTGAGCTTCCGCTAACCACCAAGCGGTCGCGATATTGTAGACAGGCAATACCACGTTTGTGGCCATTGAGAGTACGTACAAATTCGCAACTAGACGTTGACCAAACTTTGATTGTGCGATCACCGCTAGCTGATACTATATATTTTTCATCAAAGTCGACGACATTCACGGCTGCACGATGACCAACTAAAACTCGACGCAATGTTATCTCGCTGGGTGATGTCATATCCCAGACGGCAATTGAACGATCCTTTGAGCAGGTGACCATCATACCATTGTTAAATCGCAGATGCAGTACGGCTTCGCAATGATGTATAAGCGTGTTAACCATCTCACCAGAATTAACATCCCATACGCGTACAGTCGAGTCTGAAGAGCCGCTTATTATGACTTTATCATCGTATTGAAGACACAACACTGACCCAGTGTGACCAGTAAGCGTCTGAAATATATGCAAATTAATAAAATTTACTTTTATACCTTCTCTTAAATTTCATATTGGGCATACTTTTACCTTAACACATTGCAAATCTGTACGGTCCCACACTTTTATGGTATTATCACGTAGGCCTGATACAATTTTAACATCATCGTATTGCAGGCAGTATACACCTTTTGAATTTTCTGAACGACAATTAATGCGACGCAACATATGACGTCCGGTTCGCCAATTATTTTCAATACTTTCGATGTCCTAATAATGAAATATAAAATTTTTCAAATTCATGAAGAAAAAAAAAATACAGATCTCTAATCGCTTACATTCATAATTTTGGGAAATAAGGCGCGATAAAATGAATGTGGCCGATGCGTTGTACCAGGTCTGGGTTTAAATAAATACTGTATCCAACCGCGACGTTCGGCCAAACCACGCCACAATGAATCAGTGCGCACTTTACGCTCAATTAATTTCTTCCAGAGCATTCCTTCTGAAATGACACGCAACCATTCTTTGCATACCAATTCGGCAGCTTTCAAAGAGTCGGCATCCAAATACGCGAGAATGTTTTCAGCAATGTGATCCAAGCCCTTCTCTAACAAGAAGAGAGAAAAAGAAGAAATTAATTACATTTTGCAATTTCTTGTTACACCAATAAAAGCTCTATTGCGCATTCCATTATAAAGGTGAAGAAATGTTCTTTAAATTTTGCATTACCAGGTGAGGGCGGCAGTATGCAATTGATCCAATCCAATATCAATGCCCAAGGCAAGAGAGTGTCTAAGTATTTTACCTTAATCCGAATAATCATCATTGTTTATGTTCCTAAGCGAGCAGATGTAACGGCGAGTATTCATTAGAAGGAGCAACATACGCTAACTTGTTAATAGATCGACCCATACAAGGTATAGGATCCGTAAGCACCGCAATTTGCGGCTGAGAGGTAAGAAGAGTACAGTTTCCTGTTATATAAGATTTATAAATCAGTCATATATATATTTAACGTTTGGAATTATCCTGAAGAAGATCCTCGTTCTAAAATGATGGACTATGTTTTGCTTTAGGTGTTCTGATGGGAAACAAATGCATTCATCATACTTTCAATTGTATAATTTATGTGCTTAGGTAAGATAAGTTTCGTAACTGCCTATAGAGTTCCAAATTGTGTTTAAAACTTTAAGTAACGTGCACTATATTCAGTTTGCAAAATGTCAACGCCTGTGAAAAATTTCCAAATGTTGTCTTTCTAATTAATATTTAAGTGGAATCGATATGATCGGCTTTCCAAGTTAAGATAACGGTTATAGAACTTTTTTTTTTTTTTTTTATTTTAATTTTTGCCTCAAGTTAGAAAAGCATCCTTAGATTTATCTTCATTCAATCAATGAAAATCGCTACCAGTACTTGGATTCCGTAATGGGATTCTATTGGGCATTGGGAATTCATTGCTAGTGAACTTTACAGCTTCGAATTACCCTTCGTTTTTCATACATTTTCATACCTCCCAGCTTTAACATACCTCAGCTCATATATATTAATAATATTCGCAAACAGTTTAGAGGGGAAATTTGGCAAAATAATAAAAAACAAAGCCAACCGGCTTTAGATATACTGCATCACTTTGCCTAGTACGCTTATTCACTCCTTTTAGTAATGATGCATCAAATATTACACATTGTTCGCACGCAAAGGTGCACTTATAATCAAAGCCCATATCAAAAAAAATCCAAAAATTGTAAAGTAATTCTTTATTAAAAAAACGGTAACTTCAGCCTCAAATTGAACCGTTTCGTTCAAATATTCTCTCAGGGCGTCCTGCTTCTGTTCTAGCTACACAGTTGTTGATTATGTGGAGTTTTATGTCACGTAACGCTCTACATAGTTATATATGTTAAGCTTGCGCGTATATACGTAGTATTCAGAAGGACTTGAAGTAGATGTTATTTTCTTGAGCCATTTTTAACGGCATTGGCAAAAAAAAAAAAAAAAAAGAAAAAGGGGGGGAAGGGTAAATTTTCCTCAAATAAAGAACTTTATTCTGAAGCTCTTGCCAGAAATTCGACTCCTGTTCATCTAACTTGTGCACACCCTTAACGTAAACGTTTCTAATTCATGATCACACATTTACCTTGAAAATGAGCGCAATGTGTTGTGCTCTACAGTCGATAATGAATGTATACCTTACAATCAATGGAAAAGATTGTAATAGAACTAAATGCAAACATTTCACAGAACTAAAACCAAAAGATTTTACTTGCGAAAATCAAGTGTGATTCACCCAAATGTCGCAGACTGATCCCAATTATAATTTTATTTATGGGTTGGCAACATTGTGCAAAGTACTTGCACTCAGGACCATTTTTACAACTTTCTTTGAAATTGCATGAAGTCATTAAGATTGAAGTAGTCGGCGCAGAGCCGGTGGAGTTTAAGGAAAAATTTTTCATTTCAGATCAAGTTTGGATGCAAAGTGGCAAGACGCGCGGATATACGTGTAATCAGATATTCGGGCTCATCAAGAGAGTATGTTTAACTTAAGAACATAGAATATACGGAATTTAATGTATCTCCTGTAGGGAGTAAGTAGTGTTTGCTTATAATCTCATCGCTGGCGAGATGAAATATATTATAATAGTATTGAAAGCATTGACCTTTAAGTAAATATACAAATAATTTTAATACGCACATACACACATATATATATATATATATATATATATGCGCGCACGCACAAACACAAATCCACTCAATTTATGTGCACATACTTAAGGAAATATAATAATTATTGTAGACTTGATTTGCAATTTGTTTCAAGTTGCATTATAAGAAATTTTTTTCCATAAAATAAAATGGCGTTAAAAAGAAATGCTTTTTTTAATTTGTTTTCAAACAAAAAATATACCTGTGCACAGAAGATAAACTATTAAGAGACGATATACTAGACTTATATACTTCCCCCCTTCCCCCTTAGCTCCCATGCACGCTATTCAAGATAACTCTACGAAAGTTTTATATAATCCAATATGTATGTATGTATGTATGTATGTATCTATCTACCTATGTATGTATGTATATATAATACGAAACCTAGCAACCAACCAACCAACCAAAATGAATATGAAGAAGTATCTGAGCGCATATTCAATATTGATGTACACGATTCTTTAAACGAATGCAGAAAAAAAAAAAAAAAAGAAAAGAAAAAACTCGCATTGAAACTTCCTTAAGCGATAAAATGTCGTGTTAAGTCAAGAGTAAAAATAAACAGCGAAAAGCAGCAGGAACACAAACAAATCAAACTTTAACTTTTGGGCGGAAAACCAGTTATTTCGCTAACATCAATGATACACCTTCACGCATACATCTATACAAACATATATATATATATATATATTTGCAAACATGACAAGTAATAGATAGTAACGATAGTGTCTCTGCCCTATGTGCCTAAGAATAGTTTAGCTTTAATTTTTATTATATAGAGAGCCCCCAAAAGGGTTTCGCCACAATTCCATGCTCTTTTTATAAAAGGTTTCGATAGTTGTTGTTTTCTTGCTTACGTTTTGTTACTATTGTAAATTGGAATAATGTGCAGAGAAAAAAAAAAATATTTCGGTTATATATATATGACAAAATACGCGAAATATGAAGACAGGAACACGGGGATAACAAATGTAGCGTTTGGAATATAACATTAGGCTTTGTCGATAATAATATAATTATATTAAATTTCTGCTGCTCCTATCACTGTTTATTTCAGTGTTTACTTACATAAACTTAGCGGACACTTTTAAGTAATGGGATTTTACTTACGGAATTGTCAACATATAGATATGTACATGCGTAGATGCCTGAATCGCCGAGAAAGTAAAGGGTCTCGACTAGCAACAACTCAATGGTCGTGAGTTCAAATCTCAAATACGGTGAAGTTTTCAATAAAGCCGGCAGCTTTAGATGCTGTTGATGCCGCCTGATGATTTTTTCTAGCCTTGGAATTTATTTTTTTGGCCAAATTAATTATAATAATGATAATAATAATTTATTTACTTTTTTTTTTTTTTAATATGCAATCATTTTGGGCATATTTCCTGATTGCGTGACAGAGTGACGGTCAGAAAGAACTGAAGAAAGGGAAGGAAATGAGGAGGTGATCGTAGCCTTAACTGACGGATCACATTCCGTAACTACGACCAAAGTAAACTCTACCGTACCTGAGATTTGACACTGCAAAAGCTGGCTTAGTAGACGCGCTTCTTACCTACTTCGCTGCTTATGAGGACAGAGTACCGATAATTTAAAAATATAGCGATTGCATCTGAGTTCCTGAAACAAACTTGAGACCTTGAATACAAAGTTCTCTCCTTTAGTACAAGGTGGCCTCGCATTTTTTCCCCTTTTAGAGAAAGGGAAAGTCTTCTTGCGACAAATGTTGGAAGCAAACTTTTTTTTTTAACATAACCAGGTACTCGGGAGACATCCCCTATATGCGCAACACGGTGACAGTTGGAAATAAGTGAGGAAAGGAGCCCCACTACGCTGATATGCTCGTTTTTATCGTCTTTGTCGCTTCTATCTTAAAAATCAATTAAATCTACCTGTGGAAAATCTTTCCAGGGTTAGATTCAAAATTTTTTATATTCACGCGAAAGATAAGCTTAATGTACAGATAAATACTTACTGGGCAACAATGATATGAAATCCCTTTGCAGCATAGGTTTGAGGAAAGCATCTATGTGACCATGTTGATAATGACACATACGTGATAAAAGTTGCTCAACAAAATCCACTTGATCTGCTTCATTCCATTGTGAAAAGTATGTTAAGCAGGTTTCACGTTCAACTTGAAATGTGGGCGAGGATTCTTTCTTACGAACTGGGTCATAAAGCATAGTCGATGTGAACTAAAGTTAAATAAAGAAAGAAAATAAAAGAAACAATTAAAATGAAAAGCGCAAACATTTTCTTTACTCTTCTTTCGAATACGAACAACTAGATGGACTCTCCCCCAACGTAAATGCAATAACAATAATAAAACATTTTCAGACCATAACTAATTAACCGACAAGCTAACAAACGAGATTGCATTCACTTTGGAGCAGAACTGATATTATTTAACATCTCTATCTTTAAGAGAAACCAAAAACTCGAGGAAGAGGAGTTGCTTTATACTTCTTTCAGAATGATTCTTATTAAATATTTAAGCGCAACTTTTAATCTTTTTCAATCTATCGTCTCTTAATATATTTATACCAAAGTGAGGAATTGTAGGATTAAAATAAGCTGAACAATGACCGACAGTAGACGACTATCGGCTCTAAAAAATAGATAAGAAAAGAAAAGATGGTTAGTTTAGTCGTTAAACTTTTGGCAGATACCGCCAAGATGTCCGTACGACTTTCCGCTCAAAATGTGTGTCTTTAAATTGAGGGAAGATTTTGGTAGCCAAAAACTATTTGGTCCTAAGGATTTGGTTGTTTTTCAGCTAAAAGGGGCAATTCGATACGTTGTTGCTCGAAAGTAAGAAGAATTAAAAGTTCATTTAGTAAGCAATCTGCAGGTCGACGACCACATCAAATGGAAACTACAGGCCAGTCTTTCACGTCAAATTTGCAAATTCTTATAGTACGAGTGACACAAATGTTCTTGCCGAAAAATACATATATATATTCTTGCAGACTATATAATCTACACAAGTAGGTATACGTTGTTGTATATTAAAAAAAAAAAAAAAAAAAAAAAAAGAGGTAAAAAAGGAAAACAAAACTGCATATATACATATGCTTATGATGCACGTAAAGGTTCATTAGTTTAAAGCTGTACATATACATTTAGCTTCGAAACATGACCTTGACACTGAAAACTTAGATCAACTTGTTGATTTAAAATAAAAGTTTATTTATTTAAATGCAATTCACACATCTCGCTAACCATAGTCAGTCTGTATTTGTTAACAGCTGTTGCATTGAAAAAACGACTTTAAATTTAGTAACAACTGAGAGTAAGCGTCTGAATTCGATTACAATTGAGAATAATTCGAAGAGTCAGTCTGTATTCGTAAACATAGTATTGCAGAAAGAGGTAGATCCTTGCAAAGTGCTTAAGTGTATGTATTCAGCAGAAAATTGACGGCCTAAATAGATATTGAATTCACATATACTTTTAAATGACTTTTCCCTAATTAATTAGAGTCAATTGGCTAATGATGCAATTGTCAATCTGTTAATTATTTACATATACATATGTAAAAAACTTTTTGATTAGGTTGATTAAAAGCAGATTTTAACAATCTTGAAGAAGCGTTAGCCAAGAGCTTTTGTTAAATTGATGGCTTTCTCCACATTGATGACCTATCATATTTTAGAAAATTTTCGTGAATTTTCAACCTTATATCGAACCTAACTCGGATGAAAGAAATATGTGTGCACATCGTGGAATATGGTAATGTAAAATCATTATCTCCGATATGATGTACGTTTGTAAATAAACAAATTTTCCTTTCTATTATAGAGTACACATGATTTAAAACAGATAACACATAACGCTTCAGCATTACCAAAAACCATATATCCTAGCTTTCAAGGACATAAAAAATAATAAATCTCTTATTCTTGTCGGGCCATTGCTTGAGGATACAAATAATAATAATAATAGAAATTCAATCTTTTCATCCTATAAAAAAAAAAAAAAAACGATTTTTTTAATCAAAATTAAATAAAATTTTATTATTGTTCGTTATTTTTATTATGAAGACGTATGATCGTGAAATATGAGCACAATAAACCAAATTAATATGAGAAAATATTGAGAAAAGTAATGTAAACAAAATAATTTGAGAAGCCTTCAAATTTCAACGCAAACAACTGCAGTGAAATGTTTTAAGAAAACGACACATAACGACATTCTAAATGAACTTACAGGTTGCGCGTTAGAATTGGTCTCATCCATAATTTTATCAGTCTCCATTTTCATCATTTTTGTATATATGTTGGTTTAATTAAAACGAATATACGTTAAGCAAGGTTTGTCCTAGGTTAAAGATAATTTTTTGTTTCTTAATTTCTTGAAAAAGAAAAACAAGAAAATGAACTGACCGATAAACGAAAAAAAAAAAAGACAAATTCGAAAATATAGAGTTACACTCCACGACACGCACTCACGTATTAAAGGCAATAACGAAACACAGTTCGTTTTGTTGTTGTTAACGAATGAGAGCAAAAAAGTGCAGAGATTATAGGCAATTGTCTCATTTGCTCTTTACACAGCAGAGCTGTTGAAACTGTGCGTTCTTCTAACTGTCCTTTTTTCACTTCCAATGCTGGCCATTTGTTTAGATCTCTTTGTCCATTAATATGATTTTTCTCGTTTAATTTTTGTAAGTAGTCTTAATTTCTGTGGTTTTTTTTTTTTTTCTTTTGACAAACGCAAAGTCATTCGTGTTAAAAAAAAAAATGGTTAAATAAATATATATCGATTATAGGAAATTTTATTAATTTTGAAGGGAAAATTTTACACGAAAGTATAATACATTTTATAGTCACAGCACAAAATGGACAAATAAAGCCTTGAGGTTTTTTATTATATATTTATTTTCTTGTCAAATGTATAATGTTTCTAAATCAATTAATTTTTCCTTTTAAAATTTCTCCAACACAACCAAACACAGAAAGAAAACTATGAAACTGATGATATAAATGCATGAGGTTGCCATATATCCTATATATTTCAATCCTATACTATTTGCGGATTCAAGGTATGTTGAATGTTAAACACGGTTTTCTCAGAAACTTGTCTACTGCTGACTCAGCTCCTTTACATTAAATGACGGGTTAACAGAAAATGACCGGCTTAACAGAAAATCTTCGTATTTTCCGCATGCACGTTATTAAAGTTAAACGTTCTGGATAAATGTATTAAACATATAAAGAACGGCGTTCTGCTTCTTTTATTTCCATAAGTTCTTATTTGTGTCTGAGATAAACACCATGTTAAAAGTATCGTTCTTTTCTAAATAATTTGCTAAGTTTACTTAATTTTCTAAATAATTTAATTAATCATGACATTGTAGCATGGGAGCTGAAAGAATTGAGAAAAGCATATTCAAGCTTTTGAAAGTGAAGCGATATAATTCTCCCGAATTGCAAAGGAGCAATTAGCAAACACTGCATCTTAGAAAACATCATTTCGATTTTTACAAAGAACCCTGAATATACGAAATAGTTCGTAATTGAGTTTACAAGGGAAATTACATTTCGATCGTGAAGTCCATGAAAGAATGACTAAAATATTTGGCATTACTTTAGATTCTGCTCCCTCGTTTATTTATTACGTTCATAGACTAAATAAAAGTTCTTTCGTTCCTAAACAATTCGTGCACACAAATATGCTCAAGCGACTAATGTAATCACGAATTTCATCAGAGATGAAGGCTTACTTCTCGTAGAAGCATTGGTGTGGAAATAACGGCTGTAACAAGTAACGGTTTTTAAATTGAAAGCAATTAAATATATGATAATTGATTGATAATATTTTTATATTCTCCAATGGACTTTACACTGTTTTTGCATCAGATCTGCTTTAACGGAACTTTCTGATTTTTTTTATGTCAAATATTCAATTACGTTAAAATATTTACAAAACTAAGAACAAGAAAAAGCATAGGAAATGCGATAAAAAGAAAGAATTACCCAATTTGGCAGCATCTTTCTTAGGCTTTTGCCAATACATACATACATACAACGTCGTATTATAACGTAAAGTTAATGTCTTAGCAGGCATTGCTAATTCGTTCGACTAGGTGATCAGGAATGTACATTATAAATATATACATCGCTCGCATTAAACGTTTAACAATATAAAGGCTGCAGGCTTTAAAAGTAAAAAAAGCGCATTTGCGTTTGACTTTATATGGGGACAAAATGAAGGTATCGTAGCAAAATTAGCAAAATTAGGAAAGGTAAAACGAATTAATTGGATTCCTAGCGATGATTTTCCGCAATATGTAGTCATTGTTGATCTATGTTCTACATTTTTAAGAATCGTAAAAATTTGAAAAATCTTCCTATATATGGTAGGAGATAACAGTTTGCCCTGGACTTATTGCAGTTCTCATCCTCGAACGATCTTAATATTAGAAATCTGCTTTTTCTCCGCATGCTTATTCGGATCCGAGCACCAAGATATTTGCATGAGAAAATTCAGTTCGCGAAACCTGAGCCTGAGGTTATTTTTTGACAACGCTTTAAAGTTGCGGAACTCGCTACCATTCAATATGAAAATGCTTGTGAACTCTAGTGGATTTATAATTCATGATCATTTTTATGTTGCCCCTTACGTTGTTTGCATTTCTATATTTACTGCTGTTGACGATTGTGGTGAATGGGACTTTAGTTGGCCCGCAAGTTACACTGTATATACCTAAAGAAGCAGTTGGAAGCGAGACCAACAAAATCGTACTTATCGAATATTTTGATATTCGATAAGCTTCGCAAAAACATGAAGGTGTGCCTAAATTGAATGGATGAAGGACAAGAAAAGAAACGAAAAAACTGAATAACATATATTTTTAGCTTCATCTTAGAGTAAGAACCTCTCTAGGAATTTAACCAATGTTATCAAAAGATTTTAAGAAATGTTTTTCTTTTTTCACCTTCAAGAACTTTGAGTGTGAAATGCTTTTGATTTCTCGCAAAAAACCGTTAGTTGTGAAAAATACCATATGTAAAGAATAGAGTTGTCTTCAAAATATGGTAACACCAGACGCATTTCTGTTAAAGGGAACGCATTTCTGTTAAAGTGGACAATATTAGAACTGTGACAATATATACAACAGCAAGATGATAACCTGTAAAATATATGAGCAGCAAGAGGAAGACCGGTGAAATATATTTATGGCAATAAGATGATAATCTAATGGGGATGATCCAAATAGGCAACAGTTTGTTCGGTTTCCTGAAATTTATGCGAATTCACTTATTTTGCATACGTATGCAACCATATATATATACGTAGATTTATTTATTTATTGGTTGGCCATTCAGGCGGAAATTCTATAAATGTAAAAAATTTCGCAAGTCTTACTGGAACATTAATTAATTATTTATTCATTATAGTAACGATTATTATTGTATATTATAATGGTATTACCTTCTATAATTATTATTATTAATTAGTAAACTAAACTAATGAGCGCATATGATCATCATCATTCGTTTATGCGAAGAAAGTACTGCCTCGCTCATTTAAAATGCGGAACTACTAAGTTTCTTATCTTACTTTCTCTTTCACGAATTTTCTTCTATTCTACAAGCAAAAAAGAAAGAGCTTTTTTCCTTTGCGATGTCAATGGGTCAGTTGTGAATTTACTTAGGTACTTAGGAACAAATTTTCTCTCTAACAGCGAGAGTACTAAACGTTATCTTATCATCGTTTAATATTTATTAATTTACAAGTAAGTTCAATAATTTTTATTCAAGTTTTTGTCTTTTGAGAAACTTTACTATAACTTTGAAACGTCCCCTGAGAAAAACCTACCGCACATTAATTAATGTCAATTGAAGCATTTTTCTGATTATAAATTTTAAAATATATTTTATACATTAAACGAAACGAATTTCCAGTGCGTGTTTTAAGGTATTTGGGAAGAAGGACAATGGCTACCGATGATTCTAAGTGCAAATTGGAAAGTTTTGTTACCTATAATAAAAAAATATTAGGAGCCGGCTTAAATTATATGTGAGCTTAACGGTTGATATATAATTGGGGAGCATACTTAACCAAATTTCTATTTTAGGGACATAATCAAAAGTCGAAATCTGCCAATCCCGGAAGAGCCAATACTTTTCCTTAAACCGTCAACTTCGCTAATACAAGAAGGCCAAAATATAATTGTAAGTTCTTCAATGAATATGCGCTATAATCTTCATTATGTTAAGTTTTAGATTCCTAAAGTCTTCAGTAAGGTGGCTCATGAGGTGGAATTGGCGTGCGTGATTGGGAGGCGTTGCAGAAACGTTTCCAAAGGGAGTGCCATGCAATTCGTGGGTGGGTATTGTTTAGCTTTGGATATGACAGCCCAGTGTTCGTTGCAAGTCGCCCGAAGTAAAGGCTTGCCTTGGTCTCTGGGGAAAGGTTTCGATACATCGACACCGGTTTCCCGATTGTTTACGCCGGATGAAATACAAGATCCACACAAATTGGAACTCTGGCTTAAGGTTAATGGCAATATTCGACAAACAGGCAATACGGGAGACATGATTTTTAAAATTCCCGACATTATTGAATATGCATCAAAACATATGACATTGGAGCCATGCGATATTATTCTTACTGGGACTCCAGGAGGTGCAGACCCCGTGGCCCCTGGCGATGTGATTGAATGTGGCTTGGGAGATTTAATTGAAATGAAATTTGAAGTAAAGGCTGAATGAGATTGATGCTGATATCAAATAATTGTTGTTGTTACTTTTCAAGATCATTTTAAAACGGAAGCCGTGTTTGTTATTATAATCCGCAGCAATAAATAAAAAAAATTTTTTATTTTAGAATTGTTTCTTTAAAATTTTCAAGTCTTTTATGTTTTCCATTACGGCTAACATTTCTCTTTGGATATTAGCACTCTCAACGAGCAACGCTATGCTTTTTTTGTATTGCTCAGCAGCATTGCGTAAACTACTGGGTACTAATATATTAAAAAAGTGCAATGGTTCATAGTAGCCCTCGGATTTCTCAACTGCAGAACGTACCAATTGAATTTTGTGACCAGAAACTGCTTCCTCATCACTTCTTTCAACGACGCGACATAAGGCCTTAAAATCTTCACTATTCTCTGTAGGCAACTGAGCCACGCTTACCGTTTGCATCCCGCTAACATAGCGAGTTTTGGCCAATAACAAGAGCCCTGCCTTTGCTGAGAAAACAAAAAAATTTAATTTAGAAATTCATCTCTTTTAAAATTTTTCTCTTCTTCCAATGCATACTTAAACGTTCTATATTTACACGGCACTCGGTTTGTTGTTCTATCAAATGCAGTAATTCCAAGTACAAAGCATCTAACAATTCCTCGATTTTGCCTTTCATTGTTAATTACTTTTTTGGTAAAACATTAAAATCCAATCAGCTGTTAAAGCTGTTAAAGATTTGTTGTGAAAATAACAAACAGAGATATCAAGCAAGGTAGTAATGTGTTATGTAAACAAACTGTGCGGATGTTAACAAAGTTAACGGTTAACGGTTCTGGATAAATTCTTTATTGGTGTCTTCCGTTTAGCACGTCTAATTACATTAAGTATTTCATCTAATTCTAATGTTAAGTTATTTTCCGATTGTTAGACCTTTTCGAATATTTATAGTATATAAAATAATTATAGAATTTTTCCAATAACAAAGCATAATAAACATAAGTGTTAAGCTACTAAGCAAATTCAATGAAAGCGTTGCTGGTTTATTTCTTTATTAATTGTCCCTTCGTACAAGGCATTGGAGGCTATTTTTTAAATTACTTCACTTACTTCACTACTTTCACTTATACCAATCATAGATCTGCCTTTTTACAGGCGTATGTTTGTTTTTCTTTTTCATTTTCAACTATCTCCATATTAACAGTATCGTACTTAACAGCAAAAATTCGCTCGCAAAGGGCAAAGTCATCTCTCAATTAAAGTGGCAGCAAAATAAAAAAAATAAGAAAAAACATATTAGGGTTAAAAATCAAACTCTCAAAACGGAAATCATTAGCGAGGTCCAAAGTAAAATTGTTAATTTTAAAGACAATGTCACGTAATGCCTTAGTGGGCATTGTAAAGAAAAGCTCAAGAGCAGCGAAAAGAAGTCTGAGTGAAAGTTCAGTGGAAGAATTACGTAAAAACAATAGTAGTAGCAGCAGCCAAGACGAGGAAGATGGACCTCTGCAGCCTTTGGTAGAGAAAAATAAGCTAACGCGCAAACATTTCACATATCAACATAAAATTGGAGTATTACCTACTGATATCTTCGCGATAGGCGGCGGAAATATATTTGGCAGACATTCCCAGCGTATAAGTGACACTATTGATGTTTGCTTACGGATAATATTAGTTTTTATTTTTATGTAAGTTTCAACACACACACACATATATGATTAAAATAATTTTTAAATTATGTTGATTGATGTTAGTAAAATGGAAACAACACCTGCGTTTGAGCGTACAATTCACGTGGAAGAGTTGTGGATGTACAAACACCCGCGTAGAAGAGATTACGTGTCCCCAGCAGCCTTACTGTTAGCCGTAGTGCTTGGCCCATTTCTGGTGACATTGCTGCATTTAATATTTACGAAAGACCAACGAGACTTTAGAGCAGCGAATTGGTCTTGGACGTTGTCTCTATGTTTGAATGGTTTAACGACAAGTCTACTGAAAGTAAGTGTCGGACGTCCACGACCTGATTTTTTTTATCGCTGCTTTCCGGATGGCATAGTGCGGAAAAGTGACCATGTAACAGACGATTTGCTAGATTCATTCAACTGCACTGGCAATTTATATGATGTCAATGAGGGTCGAAAAAGTTTTCCAAGCGGTCATTCATCTTGTACGTATACTTGCCGTTTTTTGTAAAATAGAATAAAACTTAAATATTTTTATTATATGATGTCAGTTGCGTTTGCTGGTTTCGGTTTCATTGCATTCTACGTTGCCGCAAAACTAAATGCTTTCAATCGCCGTGGTCGTGGTGAGTCCTGGCGTCTATTTATATCCATTACTCCGCTGTTTATAGCGGCGTTAGTAGCAGTTAGTCGTACTTGTGATTATCACCACCATTGGCAAGACGTTCTGGTCGGCAGTATTATTGGTCTGTCCGTTTCCCACATAGTTTATCGTCAGTATTATCCTTCAATATTCTCAATGAATTGTCATCAACCTTATCCGCGTAAATTATATCCGGCGACGGAACTAACGACGAAAACCAACCTCATATCCGGTCATAAAGCTCGTTTCCGTGCTTATAAGCAACTGCCCAGGGAAGAGGTAGGTGATAGTAATATATTGTACGACAACGAAGAAACTAATTCGGAGCAGACGACCCTACTAACCGGATACAAAACGGATAATAAATGGTTTTAAATTATTCTTTCATTTTTTTTTTTTAACAGACAGACAAATTTTAATTAATTTTATTTATACTACAGTAACGACTCAATGGTCAAAAAAACTAATAATATAGCAAATATATTTTTTAACTTAACAACGTATGTAGAAAATTCCATTAATTAAAGAAATAATATATCTTGTATTAGAAAAGTGACTTTTGTATTAAATAATTTTTTTAAACTAAAAACAGATGTTTCTTAAATCAAGGTACCTTCTTTTGTTTAGTGATCTTACGTTAAAAGATTGCCGAAATTAATTGCGGAGACGGTGAAATTTAAATCATCGTCGCCTATAATCACGTTGAACTGAACTGTTGTAGAAGCAGCTGCTTCTCGCGCTCCTTTTTCTTAACAATATCCAAACTACGTTGACGCCAAGTACTTTTGCGTAATTTTATCGGGCGACTGCCTACGTAGCGGCCATCCATCTCCTTCATGGCTTTAATGAAATCTTGGGGTTCACGAAAACTTACAAACCCGAAACCTTTACTTTTACCTGTACGTTTGTCACGTATTACGCGAGCCCTTTGAAATGAGGGGTATTTGTTAAAAGTCCGTGTGAGTACCTCATCGTTAACGTCATTACCCAAATCCCCGCAGAATATACGAAAGTCATCATCGGGCCAGTCAGCTAAAGTAGGATCTTCCCAAACTTGACCACCAGCCACTCGTATAGTTTTCCGGTCTTTCTTTTTACGTTCCGTACTCTGAAAGGATTGTAAAGCTGAGGAGGCGCGAGCCGCCTTAATTGCTTCTTCTGCTATAGGATTGGGTCCGGATTTTTCTGCCTTCAGTTTTTTTAACTTTTGGGTAACGTCAAACTGTATAGCATTAATATCGATGTGCGGGGCTGTTGCCACTGTGGGCACATTGACAGATTGCCGACTTTGGTATAACTTTGGAGCGCTGCTTAAAACAACTGGTGTAGCAGGATTTACAGCAGCAGTTTGCTTGGTAGCATTTATAACAGATGCGTTATTGTTATTTGCTGTTTGAGTCGGCACAAAAGTTGGCAAGAAAAGGTTAGCAGGTGGTATTGGCGGTGCTGGAACTGATATGCGCGGAGGTGCTGGTGCGCCACTGCTAGTCGTATTTACTCCTCCTGCCGGTTGTTGTTGCAGCTTTTGTTGTACTTGATTGTAGGTATTTGCGGCTATGATCGGTCGCACTTGACTAGGCACGAACAAATTATGCGAAGCTGTGGTTGTGCTTGGAGCTGGCTTGGAAATTTCTGCCTCGAATCGCGATAGTTCATCTTCAATATTTTTCCTTTTAATACTCATTCTTCCTAATACGATACCAAGTCTAAGGAAAAATATATTAAGATTCTTCTTCCTATACAACAGAAATGTCAAAAAATTGTTGGTAGGGTTGCCAAACAATTCACAACCATACTTATGGATGCTTTTAACGAAATCTTTGGATTTTATCGTCGATTTCACGCTCGCTCTTCCACTGTGATTGGAAGCTTTGACAAATATGAAAAAAATTATTTGATTTGCTTTCAGTAGATTTATGAATTTCATGCAAGCATTGCAAATATATTAAAAATATGAATTTTACGAATTCCGTAAGTGTATCTGTGGAAACGACATGTGAAAGTCAAATTCAAGAAATCCAATATGATGGCACTGAGATCTACCAACCGTAAATTACAAATAATTTTGCACCAAAGTAATCTTATAACGAAATTAATTTTGATATTGCAGACCTCCAACGCTGTCGGAAACATTGGCTAAGTGTGCGGCGAAAATAGATTTTAGCAAAACCTCATTAGATGATTTAAAAAAGGAAGAAAAGATCACTGCCGAAGAGTGTGATAAAGATACCGCTCTCTTCCAACCTAGTTTATGGCCTTGGGATTCTGTTCGAAACAAATTAAACGATGCTTTAACGGAAATTTGTGTGTTAGCTGATGTTTTATCTATAGCTAAGGATAAGCGTTATTTAGTATTGGATCCAGTGCCTGAAGAGCAGGAAGAAACCAAAGCGATTGTTCAGGTGTATAGTCGTAAGAAAGCCTTGGGACAAGCAGCTCAGATACTTTTAAGCGGTGCTGAACGTCTGCGTAATTCACATACGGAACAGAGAAATCGTAATGTGGCTGATTTTCACATAGAATTATTACGACTGAGACAAAATTGGCGATTGAAAAAAGTAGGTAATTCAATTATAGGCGACTTGAGTTATCGTACAGCCGGCTCCAAATTCGGTATGAGTGGCACTTTTGAGGTAACTAAAGCCGAAGAGATAGTAGACGAAGAACCAAGTACAAGTTTATCCGCATTGACGGGAAGCGGTAATAACAATGGCTTACTTAATCCTTCACCTAAAAACAGTTCCGCATTGAGAGTAATTGTGCCGGCCGAATTACAAGGAGTTGCTTACTTCAAAGTTATTACTCAAAAAGATCAGGAAGATTTGTGTACGGCCACAGTAAATTTGATTGGCCATGGCCCTAATATAACGCAGCAGGGTTACGGTGTATGGCAGAAAACTATTGAAGATGCCCAAAACGTATTATTTTGTAAAGAATTATTCAGTCAGTTGGCCCGTGAAGCTATACAACTACAAGCACCGATACCACATGTGGTCGTAAGCAATCAAATACGAGCTACTTTGTTGCCAGGCATACAGTTGATTATTTCACTTTGCCATTCCACTACGATAGACAACAGCCAGCCAACACCCATTAATGATCACGATCACGATCATGTTTTAGAGCATTCCTTACATCAATTATTGCGTGAAGTTCATCATAAAAATTCCCACCATCCATTTCCGCATCCAGCCAGCGGTCCTTTGGGGCCTAGTAAAAAGCGCATGTTAGCAGGCCCTTTGGCAGCCGATCGTCAAACTGTTCTCGACATGACAAAAACGCAAACGATTTTAGAACAAATTATCGCTCAGGCTCAGCACATTTTTATGCGTAAACGCACTCAGTACGTTTTGGACACTCTGGCCCGCGACGTCAAAGATCCACAAATTGTATCACACTGGAACGGCATGTCGAAACCAACTATGTCTTGTGTCAAAATCAATATTGTTACACATGGCTATGACACAATATATAGAACATCCCTCATGATACACGTACATGAACGTTCTTTAAAAGTCATATGTCGTGATGGCCGTGTCATGTATCTTTCGTATGAACCACAGGAACTACGTGATTTGATACTCTGCCAAATAAATTCCCACCAAATCTCATGTTTAATCAATTTGGCTCGGTGCATGGCATGGCCCGTGATATCAAACAGCAATCATTTGGGCATTGGTAAAGTGGAACCATTGGGCAATGCGAGTTCTTGCCTATTGGCCTCGCCGAACAGTGATCGAATGATAGCTGTGCAAATTCGTTGCACACAATCGCAAATGGATATTAAAGTATACATAGCGCGTAGTCCACGCCACGATTTTTTTCCCAGTCCCTTGGTGCCAGAGAAATTCTGGGAGAATTTGGGAGGCCACTTTAAAGAGGTGAATTGAATTTTTAACCCTAAATGTATCGGCTTGACAATGAATTAAAAATTTTCATTTTAGGTACGCTTTGATAAAATTGAAGGTAAAAGTTTTCTCAACAAAATCGAATTTTTGATGGCCTCACTAAATAGTAATAATGCGTCATGAGAATAAGAAATTGTAATCCAATTCAAGAAATAAAGTCTCATAATATTATTAGTTAAGTATATATAGGCGGAGACTCTTTAATGAATATGAAAGGCTAGTCAAGATCTTTAAAAGCGCAATCTTTTCATCATCATCATGCATAGAGGCCCGACAAATTTTTGGTTTGAAAATCATACATCGATTCCGAAGAAATTGGTTTTGCTAAAGTTTGGGCAAACGATATAGATATAGTATAGAAGGAAACTGATCAAACTAATATTTACGTGATTGGTTCACGTGGTTATGGCCAGCGAGGAAGAAAATGAAACTAAGATAAGATAGGTGCACCACTCTATTCAGCACATAACGACCAAACTTGCAGACTTACATTCGTCCTTCAGTGAAGACTAGTACTTACGAATCCCATATATAGTGCTCGCTGTTTTATTCGACCTAAAGCGTATGCTGGTTTTGATTGCAATGGATTCTTTTTATTTTTATAGAGCTAGAATTTGAAAATAGACGAACATCAAGCGAAACCAATCAATGATGGAGAGGGCCGTATAGTTAAAGAAATTTAATTCAATCTTACCCTGTTAGCCCGTTTGTGTAACGACGCAGCATCTGAGTGGAATATAAGTGTGACTGTTCATATGTACAATATCAAACCGAGATTTCAATATTGTTTCTAAAATATCTACATAGACGCCCATATCATTATTATTACTTCCCTTTTTTTTTTTGACCAAATTCGAGGTTCGCTCATTTACTTCTCCTTTTTTTAGACCCAATTCGAAGTTCGCTCATTTACTTCTTTCTTCTTCCATTTTACAATAGGCGCAATACTTCTTTTTGCGTATCAATGGGATCTATATTGTTCGGATCGTGAAAGACGTGATCATAGGTAAAAAAAAAAGTGTGATAAGTGCCTGTAGATGCGCTAGATATAGTACATATAAAGCCCCGCTCATATACAGATATAAGTTAACTTGAGGTAGATGAGATAAATGAATAAAAATATTGACAATATGAATACATTCAATCAATTTGTTTTGTAAATTAATATTTCTGTGCTTTTGGAATTATTTATTTTTTCTTTTTTATTTCTACAAAAATTGCTATTTTAGAAACTTGGTTAGAGTTTAAAAAACTGGAGTAGGAAAAAAAATAAGCGAACTTAAAAACGAAAGACATCGTTTCCGATATAAAAAATTGGTTGAAACTATCTGAAAGGCATAGAGGAGGGATCGGTAATACCGTAAATAACTTGCCAGAAGTTTGTACTGCTGTTCTGTAATTAAATTTTTTATATTGCCGCCTGAGTGGCCGAGTAGGCAAACTTCTCGACTACCAACTCAATGGTCGTGGGTTCACATCTCAAGTGCGGTAGAGTTTTTAATAAAGCCGAAAGCCTTAGATGCTAGTGCTTTTAAGACTTTAGTCTTAGAATTTATTCTCTGGCTAAGTTTATAATAATAATAATAATAATAATAAATTTTTTATAGTAATGAAACTCGTAGTTTTCAAATCCATAAAGCGATACTTGTGTGAGAGAGGAAACGATTCTACTTCCACATCTAAGTACGAAGCTCTTCCAAATGAAGTTATAAAGAGAACTATCATCGATCAATTTTACATATTCACTAATTCTAGGCTGGGAATTTTCATTTGAAGATTTTTAATTTATGATGTAAATGCCGTAGGGAATAAAAAACGCGATCCTTAAGAGCATCACTTAACCTCAGAAGAAATTCTCACTGCCATTCTCTTGGATAGTATTGAGATTGAAAGCGAATTAAAAATCGAAAAGTTGCCGCATATAATCTGGGTTGACTATCCGGTATCAAGGTTGAATGGTATCCAAAACGGCCACATAATCTTGGAAAATCTCAATCTTAGTTTGAATTGCAGTGCGATATGAAAAAGTCAAATGCAAAAGCGGCACCAGCGAGCACCATCGAAATTAATAACTGGAAGGTAGGTTTTCCCCAAAGAAAAAAAATGATACAAGTAGTAAAACACTATCGTCATTCGGATATAATTACTTTGTGACGTTGTATATATTTGTTTAGATATTTCCAAAATGTGGACAAGTGATCTCTAATCGTAAGTACACCTTATAGTTTTTGCGTTTACTTATTTAGTTATGATTTTTCTTTTTTTTTGTTATTTTTATTCTTAAGCGTTTAGCGGGCGTTCGGTTTTCTTGCTTTCCTTCATTCAATTCATGTGGAACCCATTTTCCCATCTTCTGAATTTTTCCCATTGCTTTCAAACGTACGGAGATTGCTTCTCGCGTCACATTTAATTGACGCGCGAGCTGTTGTTGCGTCTGAGCATCGTTCTCATCCAACAGTGCTTGCAATTCGCTATCTTCAAACTTTTTCGATGGTCTTCCACGTTCTTCGTTCCTCACATCGAAATCGCCATTTTTGAATTTTTTAAACCACTCAAAGCACTGTGACTTACCCAGAGCATGCTCACCGTACGCTTCGAGCAGCATTCGATGCGATTCTGCAGCACTTTTCTTCAAATGGTAACAAAAAATCAATGCTGTTCGCAAATGATAGTTTCCGGGCACAAAGTTCGACATGTTCAATGCTATGACAAACTATGCCGTTATATGCTATGCTCGTGTATGGTTGTAGGTTGAGAAAGACTTTGTCAGATGGCGACAAGAAAATGGCGTCAATGGCGTTTGACGTTAACTCGAGTGACAGCTAGGGCCATCTATGGGGAAATTCCGGTTTCATATTTACATACCTACTGAAGTGTAAATTATTTATTATACTTTTCTTAAAACTTCTTTGGCGCCAGAACGTTGGAAAAACCATCGTGATACCACCAGGACTTGCATGCTATACGAACCTTAATATCCACTTGCTATTCTTCTCATTCGATGACAGCTGGACGAAGCCATCTTTCTAGATCGCAAAATGTTACCGAATAGGACAAATTGTCCTCCACTTTTGTATTAAACGGAATATTTGAAGATGATGGAGTGGAGTTTCCCTCAGTGCTTGAAGATTTAATGCAACGCAAATGTAAGCCTCTATTGCTGCAAAACAATATCGGAGTAGAACGTTTCACTTGCCCCGTCGGCTTACTATTCATCTTTTTTGTTGCTTTAATTCAATAGATTTTTCTGTCTTTGTCAATCTTAAAATTTTTTTACTCTCAGTCTCATGTAACATAGTTCACTATTATACACTTTCAATAGCTTCACTATACACCTTCGATATTAAAGTTTAAAATTGTTAGACGGTCGGTCTTCCAAAGCATTCAATACATATTTAATATTAGTCTTAAATTTTCTCCATTAGATTCTTTGTTTCTGCTTAATGGTTTATACGCTTTTTTTATATCTGAGACTGAGAAGGTGTAGGTGTAGGTCTTCTTTTCAAGTGTACATTCGCTGTTGCTTGACCGATGCGAAACCTTTCCCTTCCCTTCTTCGTTTACTTATTTATTTCTTTTGCATATGCATTTTTTTATTTTTTTTTTCTATACACAATTCACACACGAGGCATTTGTACTTATTTCATAAACATTTCCTATCTTTTTCATATGTCTGATACATGTGCACGTACTCATCTGGCTTTTAGGGGTTGTTTCGTTTCTAGCTTATTCTTATGCATTCCCTTCATCCAGATGATTGTTACCACCGCTCCAAATTCGCCGAGATGTATGTGATATGTGATGTAGGCTCATAAAGATTTTTGTTTAGGAAGGTCCTACAGCTATACTTAAGAACAATTCGATTATAAAGAAGGGTCCGAATTTGCAATTATTGAGATAATTGGTTTTTCTATGATTCCCTTACTGTCGAACCGGTTCTCCATCCTTTACCACAGCCAGTGTTACGCACGAAAATCGAAAAAACATCGTACGTCCAGATATTTATTTTACTCATACTCAAAAACGGAGGCTATAATAGAGATATACCGTTCCATTGCTAACACCCAGAAGCAGGGACTAAATGATTTTATTACTATTGATTACCTTGGCTGAGGATCATCTGCCTAACCTGTGCTTCGGTAGAGCCCATGACAAAGGAATCAATTTGAGGTGTCTGAGGTGTACTCCGATAAATAAATAAATAGGGAAAAATATTATAATTTTTAAAATTTCGCGACAAAAAACGCTTAGTAAATAGTATTTGGGCATTTTATTTAGATGTGAAAACTTTGGATCGGAACGCCTTCCCATGAATACTGAATAAAAAGTAAAAGGGCCTAATTTTCGATACTTCTTGATGAAAAGTTATTAACATGAAAATTGGCGTTACCGAATTTGGACCGCGTAGATCCATGTCTTGGTTCCCAACCCATATAAGGACTCTGACGAACAATAAGTCTTTACATGCCGAAAAGTTGAAATTTTTCATACTAGTCCATAAGGAATCCGGATCATATAGACCTATTTTCTAGGGTTCTCATCCAAGCGCATCCTTCTACGACGGCAAAGTCTAACTTGTGGTTTGTTATGACGGAAGCAACTAAACAATAATAAAATCTTTGATAAATAAATTAAGTTTGCTAAATAAAGACCACGTTGACGTTTTAATACCCTCCACTAAGAGAGAGCTTTCATTAAAATTGTGCATTTACGTAAAAATAATGAATAATTTTTGATGTATTACTAATTAAGCGAAGTCGTGTAAGACATGTAATAGTCGGCCTTGCCCGACTATAGCGTCCTTACGTGTTCTTCCTTTTATTTCTTTAAGTTTGCTGTGCTCACTGTTAGCGGTTTGTCGCCGTTCACGCGGTTGTCGTGGATATGCGATTTCAAACTTCTTTGTTCGGTAAAAAGCCGCTTCCTTAAAAGCATATCTGTAGTCTCCAAATTATTATCTTTCGAAGATTATTTGTAAGTATTTTAGTTGTTTGAGTTTTTATTTAAATAATAAAATACTTTGCGAGTCAACAAATCAACAACAGGCGAGTTACTGAGTTGAACGCAAAAGGGACTATCCGTCATAGAAGAAAAAATTGAAGGAAAACTGTCATTTTTATAGTCGGCAACCCACCTGTCGTTTTTATAGTCTACCTTTGCAAGCTACCTTTGGTACGGGGCTATAG